GTTTTGACACACTGGTGCAACAAAGGAAATACGGTAAATGCATCCTCAGCGCAACTCCCTGCTCTGTGCTTTTGCAGAATGCTGGTTCAGAATGGCAGCGAAGAAGCTGCCTTGCTATAAACTGCAAACGGGAAGCACAGATGTCACAAATCCCCTTTTGAAGATGTACCGCTGCTCTCCATCTTATGCTGGAGTAGCTTTAAATCCAGTGTTGAGTAGAAAGTCATGTCTTCTTGATGTTATGATTTAAAAAAAATGTTACGATCTCTTTCATTATGAATTATTTGCCTGCTGGCTAACTAGCACATTAGGTCACATTTAATCCACCCATTTGCATATCGAGGTTGGCTAAAACAGGCATGGTTCCCACTCACCTCCCAGTCCACCTGTGTGGATTTTTCGGCCCTCGGCTCAGCAGCATCCCTCTGCCATGCAGTGAACTCCCTGCCAAACCTGGCTGTGTCACCTGGGACCCAACCTGAGGTTCTTCTGCCCACAAACCAAGGATGTTCGCCAGTGAGCCACGGCAACATCAGGGATCCTGGGGCTTCAAATTAAGACGATGGAGATGAGAGGCCAGGACTTAACTCAGTGGGCTATCTGGGACCGCATAATAGGCAATACGATTCAATCCCGGTCCTGCCCAGGCCAAATCTGGCTGTTTGGCAAGCCCTCTTTTCTCCCTCAGCCAGAATGCAAATCTCTTCACGTTGCCAAGTTAAATAGGCTGTGTACTGGGCTAATGGTCAGCATGCAACCTTCTGTTTCTCCCCGTCTCATGCTAAATAATGACAAGCTGTTCTCATCCAATTACTTCCCCGCTGCATCCAGATGATAGAGGAGCAAAGGTCCACTGAGAGCGTCAAGAGTACAGATGCTCTTGACCAGCGTCCAGTTCTGGAGGCAGCGATTCCTCTGTGAAGAAAGGTTGCAGAGCCTGGGACTTTTTTAGTTCAGAGAAAAGGCGCCGCAACAGAAAGTTACCAAATCATGCTTGGCATGGAAGAAGTGGCGAGCGAAAAGCCCTTCTTCGTCTGTCGTCACTCTAGAAATCGTGGCCGTCCAATGAAGCTGACGTTTGGGGATTCAAGAGGAAGGAATTCTTCATGCAATGCATGAACTATGGAACTCGCTGCCGCTGGAAGCCGTCATGGCCACCAACTTGGATGGTGTTATAAGAATTTTAAGGTCTTAGGTATGTAATAAATGTTCATAAATGTACTAAGCAAACACGTACATAAATATATAAACCACATGTCTGAAGCAGAACAGGAAAACAGCCATGAAGCCATTTGACTCCCAAACTGACCAAATGTTTTCTCTGCAAAGTCAAAGGAAAATGGAAAAGCCTCCCCATTGTCTTTTCCTTCACAAATCCTGTCTTAAGGGCACATTTAAGATATGAATAGGGTGTGAGCCTGTGACCTGGCTCAGGAACATTACAAAAGACTGGCCAAGCTCCCCAGGCAATCCAATCAAGTAAGCATTAACAGGTAACCTGCCAGACAGGAGGTAAACAATGCACTCAGATTTCTGTTGTAGACTGCCCTTTCTGTGATGTAGGTATGATGTTTCTGGGGGTGGTCTTGGACTCCAGGGTGGGCAATTTAAAATGTCTATATAAGGGCGGGCACACCTGGGTTCTGGGTCCTCCTCCTTCTCCTGTGTGTGAAGGGGGCACCCTGTTGCAACAGTTCAATAAAGATCAGGCTTGCTAGCTGCTTTGCTTCTCAATATTCTCTGGTTGGCCTCTGTTATTTTTCTCCAAGCAATGGAGAACCTGCAAAGGACTCTACAAGGCCTCTTGTGCCCCCCATAAGGGAATAAGGGCAGATTTCCATTTATTACAATGGCTTTAGAAAAGGACTGGAAAACTTCATGGAGGAGAGAGCTATCAATGGCTACCAGCCAGGATGGCTCTGCTCTGCTTCCACAGTCAGAGGCAGCAATGCTTTTGGATGGGGACAGGGCTCTTGCGCTCAGATCCTGCTTGCTGGTCTCCTGCACGTTGGCCACTGTGAGATCAGGAAGCTGGACTAGAAGAGCCATTGGCCTGATCCAGAAGACTCTTCTTATGTCCTTATGGTGGACAGAGGGGCATGACAGAGAAAGGCATGCCCACTTCTCAGAGAGAGCCATGAGCAAAACAACCTTGTAATTACTGGTCTCTGCTTTCGGGCAAGAATAGTTCTGTGCATTTGGCCCTGGCGGAACCTTAGCCCTCTCCTGCTTGAAAGAGAAATTCCTGCTGCAAGAACTGGTCAGAAAGGGACCATAGCCTCCCCCCCCCCACCAAGGATGAACCATATTGCATTAAGATCCGCTTTGGATATCATCTGTAGGTGCACAACCTATGGCTAGCTTTTTCATGAGTTTCGGAAAACTGAAAGCAGGCACACACCCCGTGCGGATCAGGGCCACAGCTTTGGATGAGGAGGGGAAGAAACCTTTTCCCCAGAAGTGCTGTACAAAGCAGCTATTTGCCTTATGGAGGAAATCTTTGCCAAGCTAGCTGAGCAGATTCCATACTTGACCTGCCTTCTCTTGCAATAAACTGGAAGAAAACTCAGTTTCTTGAGACTGGTTCCACTTTTGCCATCTTAAACGGAAAGGGACAATCTCTTTGCTGGAGCAAGAGTGAAAATGTAGGTGCACCTCTGACTTCTGTTCACACTTTACTTGTCTTGCTGCACTGGTAGAAATTGATCTTGCAAAGCAGACTCGCTTTAGACAGTTCCCTGTCTGCACAGTTGAATAACTGGTGCCGATTGAAAACATAACAGGGCATCCAGCTGCCTTGGAGAGCTCTCAGCAAAAAAATCCAGTTGGCACAGTTAACCAGCTATTTGTGCCCACTATGCTCCGGCCAATCCCATCTTGGGGAGCCAAAACCCCGACAATGCAGTGGCAGAGCAGCTGATGGCCTCTCTGTAAATTGACAAATATTGGTCGCACAATTTGATACCCAGAGGCTCTAGACGCAGATGGATTGACTCGCCCCAACCCTCACTCACATTTCCCATGGCAAATATAGAATTTGGGAATTAGCCATGTAAGCCGGGGGGGGCGGGGATAGAATCATAGAATTGTAGAGTTGGAAAGGACCCCAGGGGTCATCTAGACCAACCCCCTGCAATGTAGGAGTCCCAGCTAAATGCCAGGTGGGAGTGGCCAGGGCACAGAAGGGCTGCAGCTCACTGGCAGAGCATCTGTCTTGCAAGCAGATTCCAGATTTCTCTAGCTTTCTTGCAGTGCCCTATGTTCCTATGTAAGTCAGCTGCCTGAGATAGACACTTTCATCATAAGAAGAGGGTCAAGTTTCTAGCCCTTATGGATTACGAAGCGATGCTTCAAAACCTATGTGCAATGCCTGGTGGGAAATCTCAGGAGTGTTGCTGAGTGCGATTCCCAGCATCTCGCTTCAGAGCCCTGCGCCTCTCCAAAAAGACCTGTAGCAAACAAAACATTAATTTATTGCGCCACGAGCTTCTGTGATTGAAGATGTTCTCGCCTTCGCATCGCAAGAGCCTCGGCTGCACGCTAATAGTGAAAACGCCGCCATAAATCCTTTTCTTGGCTTTACAGCCTCCAGGTTTGGGAATGGGCCAGGAAGATGAAATTCCAGCTGAGCGGTAAAATTCCGCCTGCCTGGCAGCCTCAACCTCACAGCAGAGACGGCAAAGCGACGCAAAGCTTGCAAACCACAAGCCCCTTGATGCCAAGCGAGGAGGAGGGTTGAGCCAAGCCAGTGTGGCCACATAATTCCGCCTTTAGGGAACAGGCAGGCTTAAATCTCCTGCTCATTGTCTCAGCCCACCCCCAGTGCTGTGGAGCAGCCCACCTTCCACAGCCCGACTATTTAAGCCTTGAGCTGCAACGCACACAGGGAATTTGTGTCTGCACAGCAAATCCATCGCTGTCCATATCTGAGTCATTGCCGCAAAACGGAAAGTGGGGGTGGGGGGGAGAGACCCTGTGAAAAGCAGGATTAACACCCCGCCATCAGGGCCGCAGCCACATGCAAGCATACACAAATCAGTTTTAATTGCCAGAGCAGAGTGGCTATTAGGAGATAAAAAATGTGCAAAGTGGCTTCCTCTTTTGGAGGAAAAGAGACAGTATCACGGAAGGCTTTAATGGGCTCTGTTTCTTAGAGATGTGAGAGAGATGAGAATCTGCTGGTGACCCATCAAGCTGAATGCAGATTACTTGTCGCTGGCAGAAGGCCTGGGCAACTGGGAATTGTTTCTGGCAGATAGCAGGGGCAAAAGTGTCATTGATCCGGGTGGGCCACCAAAGTTAGCTGGTCCAATGTGCTCAGGACTCTCTCTCTCTCTCTCTCTCTCTCTCTCTCTCTCTCTCAATCTCCCCTTTCTCTCTTACTTCCCGTCACCCCTTTTCTCCCTCCAGAGCTGGATTAAGACTTTTAGAGTCCCAAAGTACTTAAAAGATGTTGGTGCTCCTGTATATTTTTAATTCAAAATATAAACAATAATAAACCGTAAAAGAACATTATATTTTTCGAGACGAAGCAAACCCTACGGTAAGATGGAAAAAAATGTTTATTTGTTTACACTTCCTGTTTTTTTAAAAAATCTCCTGCTTTTTTGAATTGCAATGTCTTTGATTAGATTCTCAGAACTAATCTTACGTGACACGTCTGCCTCTATACTTAGTAGAGATAAGGCATTCAGCCTGCCTCGTTCCTTAGTGGTTCTGTGGGGATTTTTTTAATATACTTCGAATGAGAAAATGAATGCTCAGCTGAGAAATTTGTGATCATTAATGTTAAAAATCCAGCAATGGAAAATTTCTTCGGTGCCTCCCCTTCACTTGATGCCCGAAGCATGGGCTTATTTCGCTTAATGTTTGACCCAGCCCCCCCCGCCACTTCCCTCTCTCTCTCTCTCTCTCTCTCTCTCTCTCTGCCTATACCCACCCATCCACCCCAGAATTGCCTCTCTCAGAAACTGGGCTCAGACTGCCCTGGGAAGGAGCTGCCTCTGATAGCTCAGTCTGGAGAGCATGAGACTCTTAATCTCAGGGTTGTGGGTTCGAGCAAAATAATTCCTGCATTGCAGGGGGTTGGACTAGATGACCCTCATGGCCCCCTTCCAACCCTACAATTCTATGATTCTATGAGCTCAGCCTAAGGCAGCTGCCTTGGTTCCTATTAAACAGCTCTTCATTCAGAATCATGAGGACTAGCTTCTTACTTTATCTATAGGAGAAGGGCCTGCACTCAGCAGAAGAGCATCTGCCTTGCATGCGGAATGTACCAAGTTCAATCCCCGGCCTCTCCAGGCAAGGCTGGCAGAGACACCTGTCTGAAACCCTGGAGAGCTGCTGCCAGTCAGACCAGCAGGAAGGACCAGTGGTCCGACTCAGTATGCAACTTCCAATATTCCTAAAGTAGCCTGGAAGGAAAGAGTCCCACTCATTGCCCCACCCACTTCCACCTCTGGCCCGCCCACCATGAGGCCTCCATCATCATCATCACCATAATCACCATCATCATTTATTTATATCCCGCCCATCCGGCTAGGTTTCCCTAGCCACTCTGGGCGGCTCCCAACAAAATTATTATTATTAATAAAGTCATACCTTGGGTTACAGACACTTCAGGTTGCGTTTTTTTGGGTTACAGACCGCTGAAACACAGAAGTACTGGAACAGGTTAGTTCCGGGTTTTGGCAGCGACGCATGCATGGAAGTGCTAAATCACGTTTTGCGCATGCGCAGAAGCGCAACCTGTGCGTGCGCAGACGCGCCGCTGCGGGTTGCGAACGTGCATACCTCACGGATCACGTTGGCAAACCAAGCGTCCACTGTAATAATAAAGCAATCAAACATTAAAAACTTCCCTAAACAGAGCTGCCTTCAGATGTCTTCTCAATGTGAGATAGTTGTTTATTTCTTTCACATCTGATGGGAGGGCGTTCCACAGGGCGGGCGCCACCACCGAGAAGGCCCTCTGCCTGGTTCCCTGTAATCTCACTTCTCGCAGTGAGGGAAACGCCAGAAGGCCCTCGGAGCTGGACCTCAGTGTCTGGGCTGAACAATGGGGGTGGAGACGCTCCTTCAGGTATACTGGACCGAGGCCGTTTAGCGTTTTAAAGGACAGCAGCAACACTTTGAATTGTGCTCAGAAACGTACTGGGAAGCTCCTCCAGCTCGGTCAATAGAGCACGAGCCCCACATTGGGCAAATATTCTTGCATTGCAGGGGGTTGGACTAGATGGCCCTTGTGGTCCCTTCCAACTCTACAGTTAGCTAATTCTGATTCTATGAATGGTGGCCCCTAGGAAGGTCCAGCGATGGTGAGTGCAGTTCCTGCACCTCCCTTGCCTGTGCTTCCCAAGAGAACTCAACAACAATCAGCCTGAAAGCCAGGATGGTTGGAGCAAGCTGCCCTCCTTCCGACCCAGAAATCCTCAGCTCCCTTCCTCTGCTCGACTGTAGACAAGCAACGAAGGCTCCGCAAAGAGACACGGCACAGCCATCAACCAAAGCCGTTTCCCGCCACAAGCCTTCATGTGGCAGGGCCTGGTCTGCATCCCTCACTCCTCATTTGGCTGGCGCTCCTGAGATGCGCGGAGGAGAGCAGGCCTGGCTGAGAGACGTCAAGAGGATGCCGCCGTCCCAATGATGCGTGCCACCTCCGCTGCATCCGCGACGGGCGCTATCGAACCTGACACGGCGACACGGCTTTCAGGGAGGAAGCGCAGGAGAGTTGGCGGGGGAAAGTGTCAGGATGTCATCCCTCTGTCACCCCGACATTGTCTCCCCTTCCCTGCTCCACAGCTCTCTGCTTCCCCGCTCATTACAAGCACCTCGTCTTGGCAAGCCAGTCAAGACCTGCACCGTGTTCGTTCCCCCATACAAGAGTGATAGAGGAGCCATCCTGACAGCAGCAGTACCGTAGCCATTACTGACAATGGAGGATTAATGAGGCGTGCGCCCCCGACCTGCCGCTCCAAGTTTGGCTCTCCTCGCTGAGCATGCCCTGCCGGGGGCTTGCTCTTTAGTAACGGGGGCCCAGGGAGGCACGGAAGTGTTGCCTGCCTGCCTGATCTGATGGCCCTTCTTCCCTCTTTGCAAACAGCAGCGACTCAGAGAGAGCTGGGCTGTTGTCAAATTATGCATATCCCAAGAAAAAAAGCACACCCAAGAACTCAGGCCAATGTAAGTTTCAGTAGTGGGAGTGGTCCCTGCTCGCAAATCAATAGTCATTTGTAACAAAAACTAATCCATTCAAAAGTATGTATTCTGACAAGGATTACAAACTCAAATAGAGATTACAAACTCTAACAGAAGTTACAAACTCTAACTCTTCTGAATGGGTTAGTTTTTGTTACAATTGACTATTGATTTGCGAGTAGGGACCACTCCCACTACTGAAACTTACATTGGCCTGAGTTCTTGGTGTGCTTTTTTCTTGGTAAAATTATGCACGGCACGCAGGAAGTGGATACAGAGAAGCCTGTCTCCCTCTCTCATGACACCGTCAGTGAAGCTGAATGCTGGAAGATTCAGGACAGGCTAAAGCCGATCTTCACGCAGTGCATAGTTAGACGGTGGAACTCTCTGCCACAGGAGACAGTGAAGGCCACCAACTTGGATGGCTTTGAGTCTATAGCTGGTTAGAGTGTGGTGCTGAAAACGCCAAGGTTGCAGGTCTGATCCTGCATATTCCTGCATTGCAGGGGGTTGGACTAGATGATCCTCAGCGTCCCTTCCAATTCTATGATTCTATGAAAAGAGGACAAATTCACAGAGGAGAAGGCCGTGGACGGCTTTGCCCTTACTCCACATTCGTACTCCACAGCCAGGTTAAGCACACAGACACAAATAATGTGACGTGTAGCTTGGACCTAGGAGAGGGGCAGTTGCTCAGTGGTGGAGTGGGAATGTTGTAGATACTAGGAGAGGATATATTGATTTAATAGTATCCTTCCTAACTCACACTTGTGAGGCAGCAGCAGAGTACATTCCCCAATATGTAGCAGGAAGCTAGTTGGTAGATTCATTTGAATCTCTTTGCTTAAGCAACCCAATCTGGCTTTGTTCAGATTGGGTTCTGTCCCTGGTAAGTCCCCTTTTATCCCTCCTAAAAAGAACAAAGACACACGATGCTTCTTTTAAAAGTAACAAGAAGTTTACTCACATTCAGTTCACAGTTGGATCCCTAAAGGCAGGCCTTAGCTTAGAGTTACAGAAGAGGGTTTGAGTTCATCCCATATGGGAATGAGCCTGTGTGCTGCTGGCTGAGAGCCAGCAGACAGCAAAATACATCAAGAGGAAGAAGAGGGAGATGGCTGCATGACTGGCCCTTTTACGGGGTCTCCCACACCCACCTACCTGGTCACACACAGGGGGAGGAAGCTCCAGACCAGGAGTGACAGGAAGTCCTCCTGGCTGGAGTAACACCCTTCTGCATGTCCACTCTGGGCAAACAGGAAGTGTTGTATTTGACTGCTTGTGTTACATCCCACAGGTGGATCATCTGCATTGTATGCAAGAGGTCCCAGGTCCCATCCTCAGCCTCCCCAAGCAGCTCCCTTACTCTTCCTCACTCACTGAGGCATTCGGATAGAACCAGAAGCGCCTGCATCTAACGCACGTGCTCCCCCCACTTTCTCTCTGCCCCTAGTGAATGTTCCTCTCCTCCTCATTTCCTCATATGTGTAAACACACAGAGGAATTACAGCGAAGAAACTAATGCCTTTAGCAAGGTTTATTGACCTCGTTCTCGAGTAGCGTACATTTATGGGGGGGAAGAGTATCATTAAATGCAAACAGGCAATCATCGTCACAATCTCAGAACGGTTAGCTTTTTAGGAACAAATGTGCTTAATGGAAAGTGTTTGGGGGATTTGTTATTTATTTATTTATTTATTTGCCGTGTCAAAACGTTTAGCATTCATTTAGCACTGCCAAGCATCTTTAAATAATGTGATGCAAATTTAGAAACGTTCTTGTTATAAGAAATACAAATTACCTCAGCGTCGCGAGGAAGACTTATCAGGAGGTGACCTGTACCTGCTTTCCAAATATCAACCACCAATGAGAACCTTCAAGGCCTTCTGGGTCTCCCTTCTTCTGGTTTTGTGGCTTTGAAGCAAACTTTGGCCACATCCACACCATACATTTAAAGCACTGTGATACCACTTTGAGCAGCCATGGCTTCCCCCAAAGAATTCTGGGAGCTGTGGTTCATTGAGGATGCTGAGAGCCGTTATGAGATCTCTCTGTTCTCTTCTCTGAGCTTCAATTCCCAGAGTGGTTTAACTACCAAGCCTTCTTCACAAGGAATTCTGGGAATTGTAGCTGTGGGAGGGGGACTAGAAGTCTGCTAACAAACTCAGCTCCCAGAATTCTTTGGGGGACACCATGGCTGTTCAAAGTGGCATTGTGGTGCTTTCAATGTATGGTGAGGATGTGACTTTGGACTGGACAGCTCTTCAAACAGAAAAAAGACGAAGAGTTTGGATTTGATATCCCGCCTTTCACTCCCTTTAAGGAGTCTCAAAGCGGCTAACATTCTCCTTTCCCTTCCTCCCCCACAACAAACACTCTGTGAGGTGAGTGGGGCTGAGAGACTTCAGAGAAGTGTGACTGGCCCAAGGTCACCCAGCAGCTGCATATGGAGGAGCGGAGACTCAAACCCGGTTCCCCAGATTACGAGACTACCGCTCTTAACCACTACACCACACTGGCTCTCAGTGTGAAAAGGTAAAGGACCCCTGACAGTTAAGTCCAGTCGCAGACAACTCTGGGGTTGCGGCGCTCATCTTGCTTTACAGGCTGAGAGAGCTGGTGTTTGTCTGCAGACAATTTTTCTGGGTCATGTGGCCAGCACGACTAAGCCGCTTCTGGTGAAACCAGAGCAGTGCACGGAAATGCTGTTTACCTTCCTGCCAGAACAGTACCTATTTATCTACTTGCACTTTGGGGCGTGCTTTCAAACTGCTAGGTTGGCAGAAGCAGGGACCAAGCGACGGGAGCTCATCCTGTCACAGGGATTCGAACCGCTGACCTGATCGGCAAGCCTTAGGCTCTGTGGTTTAACCCACAGCGCCACCCGCGTCCCTTATTTGGCTGTAATAGACAGAGCTAATAGGAATCTGCATATGTTTGGATACTCTTCCACATTAAAGGCACCAGCTAATTCTTCAGAGTGGCCTATATGAAACCTTTCTCTGCTGTATGCTAATTTTCCACATGCAGAGAGGGTGTGTGTGTGTGTGTCCGCTTTAAAGTGGTTTTTATTTATTTAGAAAAAGTCCATTTTTTTTCACCTCCTTCTACTGTCTCTTTCAGCAAGGAGGGAAACCAAGGGGTGTGGCTGTCAAATTTACGACCCATCAGAGGGGAGACTTTGGGTCCCCGTTGCTACTTGATTATCAGGCGGCGCGTGAAGCCGTAAATAAATAAATATTGTCGCCTGCCTTCATCTCGAGGTGCCTTTTAATCTTCCTGCTATATTTTACACAATGCGCCCGACTCCCAGCTGGCTTGCACAATATCTCATTTTAGCATCTGATACAAGGGACTGGATTAAACCCAAGGCCATTGTGTTGGATGTTAATCATCCCAGTCAGGAGGAAAAGAAGAAGATGAACCGCCATCAGCTCACTGCTGCTGCTGCTCAAGACTCAGGCCCCAATCCTCCCCTGCTGGCATTACACAAAGCTGACTCACCTCTTGATCTAAGGTGGCCCTTTCCCGGCTCCTTATGGAATCACGGAATTGTAGAGTTGGAAGGGAGACCACTAGGGCCATTTAGTCCAACCTGCTGCGATGTAGAATCTTTTGCCCTATGTGGGGCTCAAACCCACAACCTTGAGATTACAAGTCTCATGCTCTACTGACTGACATGGCATCTCCTCAACCAATACCTGTAGACTAGGGCAGAGGGGATGCCCATCCAGGAGCTTCTTTCAGAGGGTAGCATTGCCAAACACCCAGTACCTGCCTGTGTAAGGGAATCGGGTGACGCTGTGGTCTGAACCACCGAACCTCTTGGGCTTGCCGATCAGAAGGTCGACGGTTCGAATCCCCGTGGCAGGGTGAGCTCCTGTTGCTCTGTCCCTGCTCTTGCCAACCTAGCAGTTTGAAAGCACGCCAGTGCAAGTAGATAAATAGGTACTGCTCTGGTGGGAAGGTAAACGGCGTTTCCATGCGCTGTTCTGGTTTTAGCAGAAGCGGCTTAGTCATGCTGGCCACATGACCTGGAAAGCTGTCTGTGGACAAACGCCGGCTCCCTCAGCCTGAAAGCAAGATGAGCGCCGCAGCCCCATAGTTGCCTTTCACTGGACTTAACTGTCCAGGGGTCCTTTACCTACCTGCCTGTGTGTTACAGGTTCACTTCCGAAGGCTTATACCAAGTCCCTCCATCCTGAGATGTACGGTGGGTGGGCCTAACAGACAGGGCTTTTTCAGTGGTGGCACCCAGAATTTAGAACAGTCTTCTAAAAGGGGACTGCCTTTCCGGTTAGTCACCTTGGTTATAGGTGACTAGAACTCATGGACATCCAATTAAGCTCTTTTTATCTTCTTATGCTGAAGGCGGGCATAAACAGAAGAATGGATAATATTTTACTACTTCAGCAGTCAAAACGGAGGCCCTGAAAAACGTCTGAAAAATATGTTTGGTTTTACCAACACTCTGCCAGTGTATCACCTTCCTGGCCTGCCAAACTTTCCCCCTGGCATCTCCCAAATCTGCCAGGAGCACTTAAGGAGAGGTCCAAAGCTCTGTGAGCGAAGTTGCTGTATCTATCCATTAAATGGCTGCTGTTCCTGGCATGGGCCACGACCAGCTCCACATTGTCACTGAGCTGGCAGGAGGGCACTGAGATGATGCCGCTCCCATGCCAACTGCAGCCTTCCCAGCTAATACTGTTCCTGGCCACAAGTGCTGCCAGCAAGCCTAGATTTTAGCTGCCTCGAGGCAAGAAAGCATAACAAGGCAAGGCCCAACATGGTTCCAAATCAATAGTTTCTGATATGGCAAATGAACGGCCAATGCTTTTTGACAACTTTGTTGGCAGTGGATGTAAGAAGATCAGAAGAGTGTGCTGGGTCAGGCCTGCTTTCTATCTTCACGAGTGATCAACAGGCTCTCCCACGGCGTGGAGAGATTACTGGCCTGATAACCACTTTAATGCATCAAAAGAGTTCTGCTGGCCAGTGGTCTCTCTTTGTGGGATGTAATCCTCTGGAGCAGTCAAGTACAACATTTCCTGTTTGCCTAGAGTGAACATGCATGGGGAATGTTGGTCCAGCCAGCTGAACTTCCTGTTACAACTGGCTGGAGCATCCTTCCTTTGCATGTGACAAGTAGGTGGGCGTGACCTTTCCAGACCTGGTAAAAGGCCAAGTCACGTAGCCACCTCTCTTATTTGTTGTCCTGCCTGCTTCCTACTTCACCTGGACTGCACTGCTGGCTACCAGCCAGCAGTCCCTAGGTTATCTCCCATATGGGGTAAACCTGTTTGTACATATTTGCAACTTTAAGCCTTAAGCCTGCCTTCAGAGATCACACTGTGCTCTGCCTGAGCATGAGTACAGTGGTACCTCGGGTTACATACGCTTCAGGTTACAGACTCCGCTAACCCAGAAATAGTGCTTCAGGTTAAGAACTTTGCTTCAGGATGAGAACAGAAATCGTGTTCCAGCGGCGCGGCGGCAGCGTGAAGCCCCATTAGCTAAAGTGATGCTTCAGGTTAAGAACAGTTTCAGGTTAAGTATGGACCTCCGGAACAAATTAAGTACTTAATCCGAGGTACCACTGTAAAACTACATTTTGTTTCTTATGAATAAGACTGTTGTGTCTTTATTCTTTTAGGAGGGATCAAAGAGGTCTTACCAGGAGTAATAGAACACATCTCAATCTGGACAAGCCAGTTTGAATTGTTTATTATCTTAAGAGACTCACACGAGTCTGCAACCAGCTTTCTGCTGTGTAAAGGGAGACTGCACTCTGCTAAGTGCAGATACTTGCTAATGCAAGTTAGGAAGGATAATAGTAATCAATATATCCTCTCCTGTTACCCACAACATTCCCACACTCTTGTCCATCATCCTGCCCTCACAGTGACCAACCAAACATCCCAAGGGAAAACCCACAAGTAGAACCCAGGCACTAGAGCAACTCTCTCTTCCCAGGTGTCAACAAAGGTTGTTTATGTATGCCACTACGGTGGCCCATGTTTTGTTAGCCCAAAAATGGAAAACAAGCGAGGTCCCAACCAAAGGAGAATGTCAGCTTAAACTGTTGGAATATGCACAGCTTGTGGACCTAACTCATAGAATAAGAGAACAAGAAGAGCATTCATTTAAAGAAGATTGGAAAATGTTCATTGCATATATGGGGGATAATTGTGTACACTTGAAAACGTCGGCAGCATTAAGATAAATTCAACAGTGTAAATAAGTTTTGACAGAAGAAATAATGGAATACTGAATGGTTTAGTTTATGTAAAATATGCAGGGATTTATGCTATGCAAAATGAACCATGGAAAGAGAAGAAGGGAAGTCATGGATATTTTAAGGTTGTCTAAATGAATATTCTAATTTGTACAACAGAAAATTATATATATATATATATATATATATATATAAGCGCAACTCTCCCCTGCTGCGGTTCCCAGGAACTGATTCCCAGTAGCATTATAGCCCCTAGTTATGGATGCAGAGAATAGTCATCATGGCTAGTAGCCACTGATAGCCCTCTCCCCGCATGGATTTTCACTTTTTGAAATATGGCAATCCCTATTGGTAGTGGCCATTACTGCCTCCTGTGCGAGTGAGTTCCACAGTTTAGCTATGTGCTACAATGCCTCTATAGGCATTGCAAAGGTCCCGGGCCCTAAGGAAGTCAGATTATCCTCCACCAGGGACAGGGCCTTCTCAGTGATGGCTCCAACCTGGTGGAATTTTCTGTCCCATGAGATTAGGGCCCTACAGGATTTAACCTCCTTCCGCCAGGCCAGAGCTATTCCACCTGGCTTTCAATTTGAATTCAGCCTGATCTTTTATTCCCCTTCCTTCCCTCCCTCTCCCCTTTTATGAAGATTACCCACTCTGGGATCCCACAGCTAATTCTCCCCTGGTCTCCTCGCTGGCCCAGGTAGGACTAATTTAGTCAGCTAGCACTGGTGATAATCTAATGTTTATTGGATGGATTTCCCCCCTAAATTGATTTTTTAATTCTGAATTTATTGTTATTCATGTTTTATACTGCATTTTATGCTGTTTTTTGTTGCATCAATTAAGTGTTTTAAATTTGTTGTTAGCTGCCTTGAGCCCGGTTTTCTGAACCGGGAAGGGCAGGGTATAAATAAAAAAATATTATTATTATATCACAGAAGCAAAGAATTGCAGAGTTGGAAGGGACCCAAAGGGTTGTCTAGTCTGAGCGCCTGCAATGAAGGAATCCCATCTAAGTGGTGTCAGGGGTAGCTATTGTGGTAAGCTTCGGGTGTTGTTGGACTACAGTTCCCATCAGCCACAGACAGAAAGGTCAGGGATGATGGGAGTTGTAGTCCAGCAACATCTGGAGGGTCTCACACTGGCTGCGTCATAACTCTGAATGTTCTCCGGTTCTTATAAAACATCCCTCAATGTGATGCATGTCTACTCGGAAGTGAGCCCTGCCAAGTTCAGCAGGACTTACACTCAAGTACCGTATTTTTTGCTCTATAAGACTCACTTTTTCCCTCCTAAAAGTAAGGGGAAATGTGTGTGCGTCTTATGGAGCGAATGCAGGCTGCGCAGCTATCCCAGAAGCCAGAACAGCAAGAGGGATTGCTGCTTTCACTGCGCAGTGATCCCTCTTGCTGTTCTGGCTTCTGAGATTCAGAACATTTTTTTTCTTGTTTTCCTTCTCCCAAAACTAGGTGCATCTTGTGGTCTGGTGTGTCTTATAGAGCGAAAAATACGGTAAGTGTTTTTAGGATTGCAGACTCATGTTAAAGCAGGCAACTTTTGAAATTTCATTCATTATGCCATTTACATTTCTTTATACACCAAAGGGTTCCTTAAGTGGCTAACAAGTAAAACAGCTGAAACAAAAAAGAAGACAAGAAATCCGATCGTTGCATTAAAACTGTTATAACACCTGATCACAAACAGCAGTAGGTGTTATGTAAAGAGTATGGGTTGCTCGTGCGTAAGTTGCCGCCTCTCCTGGCTTTGTTGCCTTGTTAAACCTTTCAGTCTGGACAGCCCTTCACTTCGTGGCTGCCTCAGTCGCTAGCAGAATCCGTCAGTGGGCGTTTCTTAAACCGTTTCCAACATAAAAGTTGTTTGACACCCAGTCTCCTCCTACTCTCCCTGCGCGGAAGTCTTCTGCGCAGGGAGGGCGTGGGTAGCGGAGGACCCGTGCTCTCCCCGCTGGTGTCTGGTGAAGAGTCTGGGAGCCCTCTCGCCGATTCCCCCATCTCCCCCTCTTTATTCCTGGTGTTGCGCTGAATTGCTTCGCCATCTGCTGAGCTGCCTCTCTCCTGGCTGGGCCCTTCTCCAGCATCATTTGAGAGTCTTCCCTCCGCCTCTAGCTCCGATGTCAGTTCCCTGACATGTTAAAATGATAACCGGAACCGGCAAAACGAAAGGAATAAGGTATCAAAATACCACATCAAATGCCTTGGAAAATAGAGAGATCTTCTCCTGGCATCAAAAAGAGAAATATTTCCTCACCAGAGGAGCCTACCCTTGGAGGGTCTTTCAGAGCTGGGGTACCACCACCTCTCAGGTCACACACACCTCACCTCCAACATTGGTGAAGAGGTATTTCTATATAAACACATAGAACAAAATATGAGCCTGGTGAATCAGGCCAGTGTTCCATCTAGACCAGCATCCTGCTCTCATGGTAA